AGTGTGAAACCATTTCTCCTTGCTCTGTCACCACAGACCCTGCTAAAAAGTCTGTCCCCTACTTTCCTGCAGCTCCCCTTCAGATACCAAAAGGCCACTACCAGATCTCCCCAGAGCTTCTCTTTTCCAGGCTGAAAAGCCTCAGCTCTCTCAGCCTGTCTTCATAGGACAGGTGTTTCATTCCATGGGTCATTTTTGTGGCCCTTCTCAGAATGCTTTCCAATAGTTCTGTGTATTTCCTGCACTGAGGACTCCACATCTGGATGCAGTACTCCAGGTGAAGCGTCAAGAGTGTAGAATAAAGGGGCAGGATCACCTCCTTCAACCTGCTAGCCGTGATTCTTTTGATGCAACCCAGGATATAGTTGGCCTTCTGGGTATGGGGGCACATTGCTGGTGCATATCCAGCTTCCCATCCACCAGAACCCCCAGGTCTTTTTTGGCAGGGCTGCACTCAATTCTGCCCCACCCCAGCTTGTATTAGCAGTGGAGGTTGCAACATGTCCCTTCCCTTCCCCTCCCTTCCCTTGTGGATTGGGTGGGGGAAGGGATGGCTTGTTCTTTTACTGCTGGAGATTTTGTATTTGTGCAGCTCCTTTCTTATTAAAATCCTACAGAGAAAAGGAAACAACACAGCTGTGCTATTCATTCACTCTTGCTATCTTGTTTGCCAAAATGAAGATCGTTTGTATCGTTTGCTCATAGCAGTGAGCAAAATGCACAGAATCTGAACAGGTGAAGAGCCCATAGCATGCCAGTGAAAAACTGGCCATTCAGCTAGGAAAAAGCTGGCTGCTGGACTCAGCTGGATGCTGATGTTATTTCACTATCGAGGTCAAGAATAGAACAGTGTTCTAACAGCATATAGTGGTCAAATATTTTCAGAAGAGGAAGAAAAGACATTCATACCTGCTAAGAATCACAGAGAAAATTGAAAAATAAACAAGCAAACAAAACCTGCAGGAATATGTCAATACATCCAAAACAAAAACAAAACAAAACAAACAAACAAAAACAAACAAACAAAAAAAACCTATACAGACAGATCAACAGGGCACAGAATTAGGTGCAAATGTCCAGTAGTGATACTGGAAAAAAAAATTTCGATTATTTACTTACAATAATAATTTCATACTTTAAAACAGTTCTTAAATTTGTTCTATCAAGAGTAAAAAAGGATGATCAAAGACTGGTCTACTTAACAGAGAGGAAAACTGTAGGGGAATTTGAACATGAATGTGTTTGATGACATTTTTCTTAGCAATCTTCACTAAACAAGACAGTTGTGATAAAATGGTTGATACAATTAATAAGATAGGTGCCCAAAATACTCTGGAAAAGATGTTCAGATGAACTGCTTGTACATACCTGAAAAATAAGGAGGAAGTGACATGCAGATGGCAGCCAATGTGACTTTTGTTTTCTAAGAACATATTTCGTCAAACTAATCTAATTTCCCTCTAGACAGGATGGCAGGCTGGGTGGAGAAAAGTTACTGAGGTCATTTATCTTAACTTTAATAATACTTTCAGTATTCTTGCATGAACATTCCATAAACTATACAAGAAACATGGTCATGATTACATTCTCATAAGGAGAATGGAAAACAAGTTGACTAACTCAATATAATGATATGTCAAGTAGATTTACACAAGATTCTCCCATTGCTTATCTCCAATTCAATAGTTTTACTGAAGACACAAATGTTGGAATGGAAAATAATCTTACTAAATTTGCAAATCACATAAAGATATGATCTGAAAGAATGATATGGGTAAGTGCAAAGTACAGTGTCTGAACAATTAAATAGATATCTTCTCAAAAACGAGTTTGAAGTGGATGTAACGTGTCATAAACAGAAGCAGTTTCATGCTGTTGTTTAAAATGGAAACAGCTTATCAGGAAGTATGAAGGAGAGAATGTAATAAATTTTACTTTGCTTTCCTTATCTCTGATATGGCTTCAGCCAAAATAAAGAATGACTTTTTAGAACTGTGTTTCAGAGAAGGAACATGCCCTAATTGGAAATAATCCCAAGGTCACAGTAGATCAAACAGTAATGAGTTTAAGTGCAGTAAAGAATCTTCAAGTGGATATTATGAGCTATGAGGTAGCAAAAATCCCTTGCCAGTGTAATTGATAGAGATTGCCTAGGAAGGCTGTGGCCAGTGAAAATCTTAAAAAAAAGATTTGAATTACTGCTGGGAATTATATCAGTAGAGGTGATTCTGTCTTAGAGCAACAGTGTGAACAGGGGAAATATCTAAGGTACATTCAACATTACGCTTCTGTGATTCTCTGTGTTTTATCCTGCAACTTTCTTTAATGATCCAAGTTTCTTACTCGAGTTTCACTCTGAAAGTTAGGCTCTCTTTAGGGTTGGCTTACAGGGTTGCTTTGCAACAGAAAGAAATTCTGATGTCTGCAGTTTTACATAGGTATAGTGCTAGAACTGTTTGTTGCAAAGGTCTACGTATGAGCGAAGATGGTCCTATGGGCAGAGCTATCTGTGGGATGTGTCCTTCATATTTAATTTCTTGCATTTAGCACACAATTGTGTTCTCAAATATAAACTCATCTCTAAGGCATTTTCATCTATAGGCTGCAAGCAGAAAACAGAGAACATGATTCAAAACCTAGCACTACTCATTTTAACACACGGTGGGTAGCTTGAAATTGTGTGCCCCAAGGGACTATTAAAAAAATAGTATTCCAATTAGATTAAAGCTTGCAGAAGTGTTTTGAGTAATGCATGCCTATTTCCTACAAGATTAAGCTTTTCTTCTGTTGCCAGTAACATATGACAATGTGAATTTATGCAGGTATTTTATTACATATGTGGAAAAATATCAGACTCGTCATTTACCTGCAATAAAAAATATACAAGACCATGTTTACTGAGTTTGCAATCACTACTCCAGTTATCATGTCACAGACTAAAATCATTTCCCCCTAAGGCTTACAAGTTAATTAACTCTGATTTTTTCTCCTTTAGCTTTTTTATGAGTGGAATTTATGTCTATGCTGCAGTAGGATGAATGCAAAGTGAATGAGGAAATTTTAGAATATCAAGTACAAGCATATTCTCTATTCAAATTATCAGTAGGACTGTACATTTTCATAAAAATTTGATCATATTGTTATTCTCTTTTTAGTAATACCAAATCATTTTATTAATTACAGTAACTATACTGCATTGTGTGTGAGAATGTGTATATTATTCTCTCAGTATGTTATCAGATATCAACTATAGAAACATATTTTAATAAAAAGAGAGTTAGTTGCTTTAGGCAAAGCATCATTCTCTTCCCATTAATCAGTTATCCTCCTGATTGAAAAATCAAGGGTTTTTTGTTGTTGCTGTTGTTACAGTTTCTGTTTAGAGAACTGTTTTTGCTTTATTATACTGGCATCTAATAGTCAGCTAAAGTCAAGATTCTTGGTAGAGAAAGTGGCAATTGCAGTGGATTATTCAGGCAGAACAGAACAGGAATCCAACAGATTTTGAATCCTTTAAAACTGATGAGAAATGTAACAATTTTTGATGGTGAATAAAAGAAAAAAATTGATGAAATGAAAAAGTAGGTCTAAAGGACTGCAACATTTACACCAGAGTAATTATATCCATAAAGCCCTCCATCATGGTGGCCTTTAACACTTCTTTCTACAGAGAAAAGTTACCATTTTGCAAGCATGATTTCAAATTAGAACATTACATAGGTTTTTATGATGAAGACAATGAATTGTATATAGTATAAAAACATATCATCTGCTAAAGCATAGGATACAATTCCATACAGCCAGTTCTAAATGTTTCAGAGGTCATTGGCAGATACAGAGAACAAATGGAATACAGCATATGCACAGAACACTATACTACCCAAAAACTGTCTTGCCACTTTGTCAAAATCTACAGATGTAGATCTGAAAGTACAAGCTTTCAATTTATATCAACTAGTAAAGTCTTGTACTTGAAGCTAGGGGGATTCAGTAACAATCCTTGCTGTTGCTCAGAGAGAAGAGTAGCATGGAGATACATCCGTATTGAGATACATAAACCAGAAAAACACTGGCAGTATTTATTTGAGAAAAAGTATACAACTGGATGGGGTACAACTACCTTTCAGATTATTATAATTTTTGGAAAAGATAGGTTAAGATTTCATTTATATTTCATTTTGAAAGGTAACAAAAAAATTACTGAGCCATGCAATGGACAAGGATAGAAAGTTGAAAGTGTGTTTTGCTTGTTCTGAAACAAATTTCTGTCCCACATTTCTGTGTCGTAGGTGATCCAACAGAACCAGTACTCCAAGTCCATTCAGTAAATATACACCTGATACTATTGATTCTCTCTAAGAACTCATTTGTTAATAATGTATTTATGAACTGGTGATACAGGTGCAAGGTTTATTTGCAATGAATTGACAGTGATCTGACTGTGATACTTGTGATGTAATACTGAAAGAGCTTCTGGGTGATGCATTTCTGATTGAAACTTAGGAATGGCTCCAGTAAGGCCTCCCAATACAATATTAAATAGAAGCTGTAATTCCTACACCATGAGAACTAGAATGCTCACAAATAGGAGGTGCTTAGAATCACAGAATCACTGAAGTTGGAAAAGACCTATAAGATCATCAAGTCCGAATCTCAAGCCATCATCATTTTACCCACTAAACCATGGCCCAGTTTCTTGGACACCTCCAGGAATAGTGACTTCAACATTTACTTGGGCAGCCTGTTCCAATACCTCATCATTCTTTCACAGAATATTTTTTCTTAGTATTCAATCTGAACCTCCCTATTGTTAGTTACCAGGGAGAAAAAACTGACACACACCTCATGTATGGGAACTGCTGAATCATGGCCTGAACCTCTGATTGACCACCTGAGGCAAGCAATGAGTCAGCCACATGAACACAGGTGAAGGCAATTCACCTACTAGAAAGGGTGAGCCTGGCTCCACCTCTTCTGGATCCCATTTAAGCGCTGACTGCCACAGAGGAAAGTTCTCTTGCTGGAGGTCACTCCTTGGGGACGATATTGTGAGCCTACAATATCAGTAAGTATTTTTCACTTATTATCTTTTCATCACAATAATCCTCCTTAGCCTAGAACTCTGTACACCAATTGATTTTTAAATCTCTGTGCACTTACTGATTGTATGCCTTGTTATAAGTTCCTTTCAGGTCATTGTAGAGCATGATAAGGTTTCCTTTGAGACTTCTCCAAACTAAATGATACCAGTTCCTGCAGTTTATCTTTATGAGACTTGTACTCTAGACCCCTCATGTCCTCATTGCTCTTCTCTGGACACGCTTCAGGGTTTTGATGTCTTTCTTGTAGCGAGGAGCTGAAAGCTGAATGCAATACTTGAGGTGTGGCCTCACCAGTACAGGAGGACAGGCACCTCCCTGCTCCTGCTGACTGCATTACTGATATAAACCAGGATGCCATTGGCCTTTTTGGCCATCTGGGCACATTGGTGGCTCATGTTCAGTTGGTTTTCAACCAGCACCTTCAGATCCTTTTCCACCACACAGCTTTCCTGCCACTCTGCCTCAAGCCTGAAGGTGATGAAGTGATGCTTGGGGTTGTGACCGAAGTGCAGACCTGGCATTTATTTAAAGCTCATACAATTGGCCTTATCCCATCAATCCAGACTATCCATATCCATCTGTAGGGCTTTCCTATTCTCAAGCAGATAACATTTCCTCCCAACTTGATGTCATCTGCAAACTTATTGAGGGCACAGTCAATTCCCCCATTCAGATCATCAGTAAGTATATTAAACTAGACAGGCGCCAGTAGTGACTGCTGTGGAACACCACTCATGACCAGATGCCAGCTGGACTTATTTCCATTCACTGCCACTTTCTGGGCTTGGCCATCCAGACAGCCTTTACCCAGGGAAGCCTACACTTGTGTAAGTCATTGGCTGCCAGGTACTCCAGGAGAATTCTATGGGAAACAGAGTAAAGGGCTTTACTAAAGCCTAGGTTGACTACATCCCCAGCCTATGTCAGCTCCATAACCCTTTCTGATACGGACATGCTTGTAGTTCCCCAGATCTTCCTTCTGACCCCTCCTGTAGATGGATGTCACATAGGTAAGACTTGTTCTTAAACTTTCTGTGTGGAGAAATTTAAATTGTTTAAAACAACAAAAATAACAATAACAAATACAAAAGACAACAATGTATCCCCAAAATTGAAGTAGCATTTTGTTCAGCTGAATGTAATCTTATATTTTCTCACTGTGACATAATCTCTAGTAAAAATATTAGTTTAAGCCATCCACTATCTTCAGCTAGGAAAGGCCTATATTACTCACCACTTAGTGTTCGATTTCTATTCATCGTAAGAGACTCACGAATGTCAGTGCATCAGGTACCAGCCAACCTTGTCCTGAATTCCAGTAAAGTAATGCAATGCACGGTAAAAAATTAAATTCAAGATCGAATGTTCTTGAAACAGAGCTCTTCATAATGCGTTTAATAAAATGCTTTAATTCATGCATACGGAAATTTTCCACACAGATCAAAAAGGTACAGAATAAAATATTTAACAACTATCACATTTAAATTTTTAGTATTTGAGAATTCTTGAAGGGGAGGTTTGCAAAGGATATTTGGGTGATGGGAAAAGAAGCAATTTCCTTTACTAAGTATAGATTTTGATCATTTCCGATTAGGTGCCATAGCAAAGTTCATCTGAATTCTCCAGGTCAGCATAATTTTGGACTTTCTAGGAAATGTAAACACTGAGATATCATGGAAATACTCAGCATACTGGTAGATCTTATCCTAAGAAATGGCAAAAGCAGATCATTAGGAACAATAAAAGCTTATAGAATACTAAACTTTTCAATTTTCTATTCACCTGCTATTTAACACAAACATTTTCAAAGGCAATATTTGATTTGAAATTAATTAGACTATTAGAGAAGATAGAATAATTACTCAATGCAATTGGCTTCATAACTTAGGGTCTTCACGGCAACTAAGACTTTCTAAAAATTTTTACTATAGGACTGTCAGACAGGACAAATATTCAAGGTTATTTAACTTTATCTGTTCTATTTGAGTATGTCCACATCCCTACTCATGAGCAATAATATTCTAAAGATAGCAGGAGCAGCTGTGAATTAACTGCATGATTTTTAAACAGAAGAATAAACTGTTAGCAGCCAATGTATTTGCTAAGCAAAATCTAATTTTAAGGGTTATTTTTTCCTGTCTATGTTATAGTATAACTTTAGCTTCACTCTTGTAGACTAATTTCAAAAAGAACATGCCTATCTCTCAGCTATGAATATGGGGCCATAAAAGAACAGCGGTATTTTCTGAAACAGTTCTGGCACAGCCACATTTCTTGACATTAATATTTTTTTTTTTAATTAATTTAATTAATATTCTGGTTTTGTTGAATGCAATTTCCATATCACAATAGGCGTTAGCAAGTAGGATATCTGGTCTTTCGCATGAGGGCTCTTTGTTATGTATATTCCAGCTGAGAAGTATTTGAGACTCAGTAACCATAATAATCTTGAATAAGAGCACTTTGAAACAATGGAGTACCTGCTACCTCTGGGGGGAAAAGTTATATACTCACCCACTGTATGGAGGTTGAAGTGTTTAGTGGAAAGTCCCCAGGAACAAATGAGGGAACAAAGAACTAGAGTGTCAAAAACTTGTTTTCTATTTCTCTGGAGCTCAGGGGTAACAAAGCACTCCTTTCTCTGAATGACGGAAATATTATGAATGCTGGACATCAGTAATCTCATGGGAACGTAATGTACAAGCCAGTAGATAAGTCATAACTAGAAAAAATATAGAGGTGATCACATGCAGAAATAAGGAACTGAAATGCTAGTATGTATCACTAAAAATCTAAAGAACACTCAGGTTTGACAGAGACTTACAGGAAGAGAAAAGCATAGTTCTCTTTAATATCAGATTTTACCTTGATCTGTAAAGGCAGTGAGCTATGGGGCAACATGACACAATTCAGGAGCCCCTGGCATGTGACTCTTGCTAATGGTTGCTGCAATCTGTACTTGCTTTCTTTTTAAATCTGTGCATCTTCTGCACTTTGTCACTAAAATAGGATTTAGAAGCCCTAAGCAGCACGGGGAGGCTGTGCAATGGGTCTGGGGACATGTCTGAAAGCCCCACTCTGCCAACTCTCCCTCCTCACATCAGGCCCTGCTCCAGATGGGATCTCTTCAGGATACCCACCCATGCCCTCACTACAGCATCACAGCACCTCGCCATCACCTGGGCACCCTCACCCTGTCCGAGTAGCCATTAAATTACAGCTCTGGAGGAGGATGTAGTTAAAGAAGGGGTTGGGAAGGAATGTTTGTGATGAATAAGGAAATTATATCACTGTGCTGCAAGACTCCTTTGGAAATTGGATGTGTTCAGCATGTGAATCCAACGGGTATGGTTGCGAACTGTGGCTGGAAATCCCAGAAGCACGCAGACTGCCTACATTAAAAGTGTGGTAAAGGAAATTAGTAACAACAGGCACTAAAAGAAAGGGGTAAAAGTCATAAAAATGTTTATTAAATTTTTGTTGTCTTCAAAGTTTTACTTATTAATTTTTGTGTTTTCAGCAGAAATTATAACTGCAACACATTTGAAATGTTCAAGCGCAGGAGTTAGGCTATGCAAATACACTGGCTTTATTTTGAACTCTATTAATCCCAAAGCACAATAGCAATCAGGGTTTCCCTTGTATTTCTCTAATCCTCTGCACGCTTTTGGTGTAATAAGCTACTTTGCTGACTTGTTTGTAATACATCTTGTGTGACGTTCTGCAGCCCCAGCCATTGCTGAGCTCATTTAAATTCTCAGATAAGCTACTTTTCTCCCTTTCCAAGCACAAGGTCTAAAGGAGGCAGTGTAAATAGGGGGGATTGAGAAAGCTTGTGAACTCTGAGAGTTTTCTGAGTTTACTACAACTTTTTGCATAATTTAAGCTCCTTTCTTGGGGGGTTGGAGGGGTGAGGGGGAAGAAAAAAAGAAGGGATTCAGTTATAGCATAACCTTTTTTAGCCCTAAGTGCTTAATCCAAAGCTCATTGAAGTTAATGGAAAGACTTCTGAGTGCCATGTCAGTCTTGAAATGGAAGTCTGTGCCCTCTATTACCACTAAGAAAGCTCTGCATACACACAGCTACCAAGCAGCAGCATCTGTAATGCATTTCTTGTTCAGCAGATTTTTGCTCTGTATCTTCCTCTTGATTTTCCCCCTCCTCTCTGAATATGTTTTCCCCCCTGTCCCTTCTGTTCCATTTCTCATCCTGTTTTTGTCAGGTTTTGTTTTTTTTTTTCTTCTGTTAACTGTTTTTTCTGTCGCAATATCTCTGCGTGAGGAGAAAACAACACTGTCCAAAAATAATTTTCACTTCCTACTTCGCAGGGCTTCAGCTGGTACAGGAGCAGGCAATGTGAACTTGCCTAATGTCTCCATCTTAAAGATTTATCACTTGTGTATAGTAAAGAAAAAAAATTAGGATGGTCTTAATTTCAAGTCAAGATTTTTAAACAGAAATGGCTAATTATAGGCTTCTAAAGCACATTTAATCATATAAATAACCATATAATTTCAAAAGTGCTGAGCATCCAGGGCCTTTAAAAAGTAAACTTACTATTTACTGCCTAGATAGATTTAACAGCCCAATATTAATTATCTGGGTTTAAAATTGATGATTATATGATGATTCTACCAACACTTTTTTTTTTTTAAGGTATATCTCTGTTATTATTTTGAATTCCTTATAGAAATTATTAGTATTCACAAAGACAACCTGGAAATTTCTATATTCTGAAGTCTGACAGCAACTTTGTTGTTCTTCAACAAAGTTCTGTGTGTCACATCACTGTAAAATGAATAGCAATGATTTTTTTCCTCTAATTTTCATAAAAAAGAATGAGAAAAAAGACTGAATCACCAAGCCATGCTGCGTTTATAAGTATGTGGAAGAAATTCTCAGTAATGATGTATCTCCTGCAGGGTAATAACAAGTATATTCTAGTCTTCTAGTAAAAATATTT